GAAAGAGTTCTTTGTGAATAACCCTTAAACTAATACTTGGGAGGATAAATTGGAATTAACTTAGTCATATATTAGGATGATCAACTCTTACATGCACATAGAAAGCTAATAATTATATAGTCAAGAATGTAAACCATTTAATTGCTTTTCTCTTTTAAATAAATAGTCAAAATTCTGTGACTATAAAAGTAAGAAACTTATTAAACTTTGAAAAATACAGGGAACTATTTTATAAAGTAAAAATTATCGGTAATCTCACTCCCAGAGATAATTCTTTTTTTTAAAAAATGTTTGCCTATGAAATATTTCACATATACAGAGATACATCTTAATTTTGGTTTTCCTTTCATTTTATCTATGTATGTACATATATATACATATTTAGAGTTTTTTGGGGTGGGGGAGCATTGAATACAATTCCCATGGGACTTTAAACCGAAATCTGTAATTTTTAATCATTTGAAGTTGTTTTTCCCTGTTAGACTCCAAGCTTCTCAAGGGTAGGCATCATGGCTCATCCATCTTTGTATTATCAGTACCAAGAGCTCTTTAACAGATATTTGAGGGCTCTCTCTATGGTAGGCACCATGATATGTGTTGGGGATATAGTAATGAGTGGGATAAGGGAAGACAGACAAATAAGTAATAAATGCAGTGCAGAGCTGTATAATAATATTGTCCAGATGAAATTAATTGGTTGTTTTTGATTGGGTGTTCAGAAAAGGCTTATCCTAGAATTGTAAACTTAAATTGAGATCTGAATAATAAAAGCACGTCACTGGGGAAGAACAGTCCAGATCAGAGGAAACTGTTAGTGTAAAAGCTCTAAAGTGGGAATGAATTTGCTATGTGTAAGCAACCAAAAGGAGGTTGTTGTGGCTGGAGTATTGTGGGTAAGGGAGGAGAATGGTGCAAGATGAAGTTGGAGATGTAGGTGGGAGCCAGATCATACACAAGCCATTTGAGGATTTAAAGCAAACGGCAGAATTTGTGTTTTTAAAAGATCACTTTGGCTGCTGTGGAGAATGAATTGACCCTGAAGATAATGAGGAAACGTTTACTACTTAAAGGTTGAGTTTTGCTGGATGTAACAAAAGAAACAGTAGTAGTGATTGAAATAAATAGGAAAGTCTGGAGGGGTAGTATCCCAAAGTTGCTTGGTTAGGGGCTTTATAGTGTTAATAGTCTACTTCTAACTTTCAGGTTACTATTCTTAGGAGTTTGACCCTTGTCCCTAAACTCTCAGAATGGCTATCAGAGGACCAGGCAGCCTATCTGAATTTCAAAAAGGGAAAGGCACCAGGCACTGCCAGCTGAGTTCACTCCCTTTAAAGAGATATCTGAGGTTCCATTCAGTGACCTCTCTTTTTATTTTTTTATTCACCACAGGGTCATAATCACTTCTTGGTTTAAGGTAGGCTAGGAAATGTTTATTAGCTGAGCACATTGCTCCCCAATTAAAATGAGGGTTTTGTTAGTAAGGAAGGAGAAGGAAATTTGTTAGGCACTTCCCATGTGGGGTTGGGGATAGGAGGCAGGAATGAACTCGGGAAGCCTTTCTAGATAGCCTAGGCAAGAGATGATTGTAGCTTGGGGTTAGGGTGGAATAGAGGAGGCTTAAGAGAAGTGTTTGGGTTATGTTTTAAGAGTGGAGTCACCAGAGCTTGCTGATGGTGTAGAGAAATAATGAAGAAGCTGGAAAAACACCTAGATTTTTGTCTTTGCAACTAGATAGATGGTGGTGCTAATTTCTGAGTTGAGGAGTAGGAAGAGCACACTGGAGGTGGGGAGGATAAGAATTTAAGCAGTTCGTTATGTGAGTCTGGAGGTTAGATCTGAAGAGAGATTTGGCATCATAGATACATAGATGGTATAATTTGATGCTTAGACTGGGTAACTTAACTCTAGGAGAATTTGGTTAGAAAAGGAGGGGTCTAGGACAAAATCTGGTTTTTGTCCTGGTTCCATAGCACATGTTGAAGTTGAATTGACAAGAACCAACAAAGGAGAGCATGGTGTCATTGAGGCCAAGAGAAGACAGAGTTCCAAGAAGAAGGTGGTCAACTTTGTCATGCTGCTTAAATGGGAGAAATGACCGTTGAATTTGCAGTGTGATCATTGGTGACCTTGACTGGAATATTTTCATTGGAATGGTGTGCATGTGTTATTGGGGTGGATTGTTAAGAGGAATGAGATGAGGAACTGGCAACTATGGTCAGCTTTTTAAAGGAGTTTTGCTTTTACAGGGAAGGAGAGAAGAGGGGGAGCTGGAGAAGACCATGGCTTCAGAGATCTTTAAAAAAAAAAATTTCTAGTAGATATTAGAGTATGTCTGTATGTTGATGGATGGGAGAAATTGATTGTGCTAGAGAGAGGAGTAACTGAAGGTGCAAAGTCCTTGAGAAGAACGGGGTGGTGTTCCTAACATAAGTGGAAGGATTAATCTTTAATAGGAGCAGAGACACTTAGGGCAATGTTAAGTTTCCATTTGGGATTTGGGGTTTTCACTTGGAACATCAGACCGCTTAATGGTGGTTGTTCCCTGCTCCCTCCCCCAGCAGTGCTGCTTGGGGCAGACACAGGAAGTTTAAAAAAATTTTTTTTTTAGTTAATTGGAGAATGAGTTTAATTAGCATTAGGGCTTTGCCATATGAGTACACTGCAGGAAGAAAGGTATCAAGGTTGTCAAGAGTATTTGCAAGGGAGTGATTATAATGAATACCCAAGGAATCTAAACTGGTAAGGAGGAAGTGAGGACCTTAAGGGTGACTGATAATGAGGGAGAGTCAGGGAGAGTGGTTCTGTTTTGATGAAGCCAGCTAATAGCTGGGTTTGGAGTACCAAAGTGAATTTATTTGATCCACGGAGGTTAGGAATCTGAGAAACTTGAAGTGGATTTCGGAGAAGGTGCAGGTTTAGGTAACAACAAAATCAAGAGTATGATTATAGGGATAAGAGCTTACAGTCTGTTAGTATTTGTAGGGAACACAGGCATTCTTAATCCTGTTTCCTTGCTCTTCTATGAGAATTGAGAAGAAATGTACAAAGATGACAAATTAGGCAACAGTCTCTCATCAACAACAGATAACTGTTGATATAAACATCCTTTTAATCAAATCAAGATCTTTGTATGTATACTGTTTTATATCTTTTTCCTATTAATATATCTTGTGTTTTCTTCAGGGCATTAAATATTCTTTTTAAATATTTAATGTTTAACTTGAGTATTAGAATTAAATAGTATTTATATATTAATATTTAGTACTGCCTGATTAAACCATTCTTTTGTCGAATATTTATAAGTTGTTTCTATTTTTTCTTGTTATAGCCTT